TTCAATAATCAAATGTTGATTTGGTTTATGAACAAAATCTACCTGTTCTTTATTCTTGTCTGTTGTGTTCAATCGTATTTGCTTCCCTTTTCCTGCTGTTTACGATTGCGTTTTTCATTGCCTTTAATCAAAATAACAGCTAGAATAGACAGACCGCAAACGCAAAGAAACTGACAAAGGCCGAGGATCGAAATCCACCAATCACCGCACATACACTGACCTCAGTTTGACCGTCGTGTTTTCTAAGAGGTCAGGCCTAGGTCTGTTGCACTGATTATTGGCAGCAAACTGGCGTACATGTAACAGTTTGTTTGGGTTTGAACTTCAGAACTCGCCAGCACTCGACTCTCAGAAAAAAAAGAAAAAAACACAAAATTCTGAGGTCAACTTGTGGAAAGTGTAATTTTTCAAAAAAAACAGTAATCGAATCAACATTCGATTATGGAATCGAGGCTAAATATGACTATTGGATTGCTCATTTTATGAATGGATTATTGAATCAACAAACGAAATCATTTTTCCGTGAATGAATTCATTAGTTCGGTAGCGACGGGAACGCTTGACCTGGTTTGACTGTAAGGTCTCGTGACATACCGAGAAAAAAGAAAAGGAAATCATATCCATTATAACGTTTTAGTGTAATTGCTGTTAGTTAAATTAACGGAAGATGATTGCAGTTACTTTTTACCATGTGTACTTAGGAATTACAACAGCAACTGTGAACACATATAGTTTACTTATACATGTATACTTATATATCAGATATAATTAACGTTTGATTTTCTAAGTGCACTAACGTCTGTATAAGCTGAACCACTGAATAGAAACAGCCGTTAAAGGTCAAATAGAAAATTGGTTTGTTTCCCGGATTTCAATTTTCATGATTTCAATCATTTTTGCTTATAGCAAAATTTAACGACATGGTGAGCCACTGAGTGAATTGGGTGGAGAAACTATATGGGTGTGGGTAGGTACGGGGTATGCCCCACGGAACTTTAAAACTTCAAGTTAGGGAGCACGTTGCACATAGTTTTCACCATCACAAACACCATTCCAATTGAATTTGCACTTTTCCTCCCAGTAAAGGAGTCCAGCGATTCCCTTTTCCGATGTGAACACTGATTCATTTTGATAAAGTTGTCAGCTATTTTTTCTTTGAACTATTGACACATTTATCGCTATCGCGGCAGATATGTTGTGTGATTTTTTCGCGTAGCTTAAACTCGAGGAAGTAGTGGTATCCAGTGAGAACCTTGTTGAAGGTTTTCATTATATCCAACACCGCTCCACCAGTTTTTGGGAATTACATGAGTTCGCGATATTAAAGCAGTGAAGGCAACTCTAACTCTGTCATAAATTTAAAATCAATAATTAACATATTTTTAACGTTACTAGATTTTTTTAACTAAGTACAAAAAAGTAAACCACTTACTAATACATATACTAATACATATAAACTTCTGTGGCGAAGGCTTTCTAAACCATTATATCCTTTTTGAAGGAAGGTTTGAGATTGCATGCATCATAACTATCGCCTAATGACTGTTTTGAATTTTTCCGGGAAACAAGGTAATTTCGTCTGTGTAAACAGATTAGGGACCTTAAGCATCGACGACGAAATGGGACGACGACGCCGACCGGAAG